GACATCTTGTAATTTGTCTTGATAAATATCACAAAATACATATGCAATAACTAAATTAGCTACTTGGTGATATTATCTGATTTCCCAATAATATTACTACCTCTTTGAGAAAATTAAAGAACTATGTTTCTAGTGGAGAGATCTTAGAATTTGCAAATTGGTTTTCTGTTAGAGTTGCTAGATACTATAGCTCCAGGTTGAATCACTTGCATGTCCTGCCCCCAAGTGAGTTCAACACCTAGAAACTTCCTGTTAAAAAATTAAACATTTATTAAAAGGGGCAATGTTAATTTCACCAGAATTCTAAGCTATAAAATATATTATTCTGGACTTACCATTCATACATAGGAAGTATATTTCCTTCCTGTTATATAAACGAGCCAGTGGTTTTATATTACAATAGATGTAAATATAATGGATACTCAGAAGAAAGCTATCCTAGACAACCGCAGTCCTTCAATAGACAGAATTTTAACAAAAAGCATCTCTTTAAAGGGAATCACAGCACTAGGATCTAATCCAAAATAAAAGACACTATGAAGTAGCTGAATTTGGGTCTATTATCTTTTAATATCTGCAGTCAACACTCATGTAAGTAGCAGTCAATCGATAAAACAACATACTGCATTAGGCAAATCTGCTGCTTTAAAGTGTTGAAGATAAAACTGTTAGTGTGAGAACTAAGGTTGGTAATTTCAATAGCCTCATATGCATGTGAAAGTTGGACAATGAATAAGGAAGATCTGAAAAGAATTGATGCATTTGAGTTAAGGTGTTGGAGCAGAATAATGAAATACCATGAACTCCAGAAGAACAAACAAATCTGTTTTGGAAGAAGTATAACCAGAATGCTCTTTAGAAGCCAGGATGGCTAGAGTTCCTCTCTTGTTTTTTGGACATGTTGTCAGGAGGGACTGGGCCCTGTGGAAAGACATCTTGCTTTGATAAAGTGGAGGGTCAGTGAAAAAGTGGAAGACTCACAAGTAGCTGAATTGACACAGTGGCAGCAGCAATGGACTAAGTATAAGGACAATTGTGAGGCTGGTGCAGGCCTGGGCTATGTTTCATTCTGTTGTGTGTAAGATCGCTGTCAGTTGGAACCAACTCAACAGCACCTAACAACATCTACACTCCTTGGTCCTTATCTACTGCCATCAATTGTGATGCATAATGACCCTATAGGACAGAGTAGGACTGCCCCACAAGGTTTCCACGGCTGTAAATCTTTACAGAAGCAGACTGCCACGTGGTTCTCCTGAGGAGTGACTGGTAGATTTGAACCACTGATCTTTTGGTTAGCAGTCAAGCATTTTAACCATTGTTCCATCAGAGCGCCTGTTCTTCAGACATACCATCATAAAATAATGTAGCCGAGAGCATTTTATATTAATTTGAAATATAAAAATGTCTCATGTTATATCCAGTTTTAGAATGATGCAAAATCTACTCCTCTACTAATAACTTCATTGAAGGGAGAGATTCCTTGAAGAAGACACAAAAAGAGAAAGATTGATACATTTGCCTATATTAAAAAAAAAATTCTGTTAATCAAAAGACACATGAAAAGATTAAAAGAACAAGCCACTGTGCCACCCTTGTTGTTGTTGGTTTTGTATGACATTGAATCAATTCCAACTCATATCGACCCTAGATAGGGCTTCTGAGAGTGGCTAGTGGGTTTGAACTGCTGACCTGGTGGTCACCAGTCCAGTGGTTATCCTTAGTTATACAAAATGCCATGAAGTGGTGAGTCTCTGGGTGATGCAAACAGTTAATGTGTTCCACTGCTAACTGAAAAGTACCCCCAGGGGCACCTCAGAAGGAAGGCCTGGAGAACTGCTTTCACAAAATCAATCATTGAAAAGCCTTCGGCATACAGCTCTCCTCAGTGCTATCCACGGGGTCATCAGGAGTTAGAATTGGCTAGATGGCAAAGGTAACGCTTCAATAATGATGGTCATTTGCAAAAGGTTGAAAAAAAAAAAAGGCTATGAAGTAGCAAACAATTGCTTTAGAAAATGAGTAAAAAGAGTGAAATTTTTTTTCTGGACAGTCTTTACATGTTAATACAAGGGGACTTCAAAAAGTTCATGGAAAAATTCCACTATTTTTCAAATCCATTTGTCCATGAATTTTTTTGAAGTCCCCTCATATCTCCACCACACTTGCTTCTTGATGATGGTGAAAATGTTAGGTTATTGTTAGGTGCCAACCAGTCAGATCTGACTATAGTGACACAATGCACAACAGAATGAAACACTGCACGGTCCTATACCATCTTCACAATCATTGTTAGGCTTCAGTCGATTTCTGTTGCCATTGTGCCAATCTACGTCTTTGGAGGTGTTCTTTTTCATGATCCTCCACTTTTCCAATTCCTGCAGGGCCCAGTCCTTCCTGATAATACGTCTAAGGTATGAGAGACAAAGTCTTGCCATTCTCACTTCTAAGGAGCATTCTGGCTGCACTTCTTTCAACACAGATTTGCTTGTTCTGGCAGTCTGTGATACTTTTAACATTCTTTTCCAACACCAGAACTCAAATACATCTATTCTTCTCAGGTCTTCCTTAGTCATTGTCCAACTTTCACATGCATATGAGGCTACTGAAAATACTGTGTCTTGGGTCAGATGCACCTTAGTCCTCAACTTGACATCTTTGCTCTTGAGTACTCTTAAAGAGGTCTTGTGCAGCAGATTTGTCTAATGTCGTATGTCGTTTGATTACTTAACTTCTGCTTCCATGAGTGTTGATTGTGGATCCAAGCAAAATGAAGTCTTTGACAACTTCAGTCCTTTTTCCATGATGTTATTTGTTGGTCCAGTGGTGAAGACTTTTTTTTTGTTTTCTTTACATTGGGGTAAAATCCATACTGAAGGCTGCAGTGTTTGATCTTCATCAGTATTTTAAATCCTCTTTGCTTTCAGCAAGCTAGGCTGCATCATTTGCATATTGCAGGCTGTTAATGGTTCTTCTTTCAATCCTGATGCCACATTCTTCTTCATATAATCCAGCTTCTCGGATTACTTGTTCAATATACAGATTGAATAAATATGGTGAAAGAATACAACATTGGTACACACTTTTTCTGATTTTAAATTATTAAGCGTCCCCTTGTTTTGTGTGAATGACTGCCTCTTGGTCTGTGCCCCATCAGTTGGTCAAGTAGCTTGTCTTCCAAATTTCTTGATATAGATGAATGAGTGACTCTAGTGTTGCAACAGTTTGTTGAAAGATTTCAATTTGTATTCCATCTATTCCTGGTGCCTTGTTCATTACCAATGCCTTCAGGGCACCCTGAACTTCTTCCTTCAGTACCATTGGCTCTTCTTGATCATATTGAAACGGCTGAACATTGACCATTTCTTTTTGGTACAGTGACTCTGTGTGTGTATTCCTTTCATCTTATTTGATGCCTTCTTCATCAGTCAATATTTTTCTCACAGAATCCTTAAATATTTCAAGTCAAGACTTGCATTTTTTTTTCAGTTCTTTCAGCTTGAGAAATGCTGAGCGTGTTCTTCCCTTTTGTTTTCTAACTCCAGATCCTTACACATTTCATTATATTTGACTTTGGCTTCTTGAGATGCCCTTAAAAATATTGTGCTCAGTTCTTTTACCTCCTCATTTCTTTCATTTGCTTTAGAACTTCTATGCAGGAAAGCAAATTTGAGAGTCTCTTCTGACAGCCACTTTGGCTTTTTCCTTCTTTTTGTCTTCTTAATGACCTTTTGCTTTCTTCCTGTATGATGTTCTTGATGTCATCCCACAACTCTTCTGGTGTTTGTTCATTTGTGTGTAACACACCAAATCTGTTGTTGAAATGATTTCTAAATTCAGGTGGGATACGTTCAAGGTCATATTTGGGCTCTCATGGACTTGTTTTAATTTTCTTCAGCTTCACCCTGAATTTGCATATGAACAATTGATGGTCTGTTCCACTGTCTGCCCTGGCCTTGTTTTTCCTGATGATATGAAGGATTACATCTGATAATGTTCTGGTGTTCTTTATCATGTTTCAATAGTCAATATTCTGGTGCTATCTAATAGTGTTCCACTGCTATTCATAAGGTTTTCAATGGCTAAATATTCAAAAGCAGTCCGCCTCTCCTTCTTTCTAGTCTGTTTTATTCTGGAAGCTCAGCTGAAACCTGTTCACTACAGGTGACCCTGCTGGTATTTAAAATATTGGTGACATAGCTTCCAGATGAGTCATGGTTGGTGAGAATAGGCATAGCAGAACATACAGCCCATAGAATACTTCTTAAGGAACTGGTGAACTATATGCTGTTTTCAGCTGAGGGTGGCCATGCTCACTGTGTGCTCTAGAGTAGCCTTTCTAGTGTCTGTGTGTTTGAGCACTCTGTTCTCCTGGCTCCCCATCTTTGTGCCTACCTCCCTCTCTCCCTATCCAAATAGCTAGATGCTTTCCAAAATTATCAGGAGACAATTTAACATGGCTGTGTTAATTGTATTGTCTGCCTAGTTTTGGCAGTTTAGAAAATATTGTTGTCTAAAACAATATTTTCTAGACATACAACACAAAAAGAGTCACTTCAAAGAACTTTCCAGTTCCTTTGTGAATTTTCTATTCTGAAAACTATGCTTTATTAACAAACACATAGACTTCTTCATTCACTGATAGCATTCCACCTGTGCAACCAATAAGGGTAAGGTGGCTTGAAGTTCAGCCCTCCAACAAAGAGCTGGGTAAATGAACGTGAGGAGACAGTATAAAAGGAAAGTGCTGTCATAGGTCAAGACATATAAGATCACAAGGAACTGTTGCAAGATTGAGCACATTCATCACAAGACTTAGAACTATCTCCTTCTGTTTGGTTGCTGGCAAAGTCCCTTCTTAACATTACAGGTTCAGAAGACTGTCCAAGTCAAGTCATAGCATGTGTGCTCAGTTGTAGTTACCATTTGGAATTACAATGAGGTGTTTAAAGATTAATTGCTTCAATATAACATTCTCATAAAACATCAATTTTACTCACCTCTGGTGTTTGAGTAGCTGAATTGCACATTATTGGCCTCTGAAGAAATACCACCTGCTTTGTGGCCAAATTCCCTTCGCTGCAAATTGAAACAACAGCATTAGGATTTGCAAATTTGTAAATTTTTATTCTTTACAGTAAGGAGCCCTGGTAGCATAGTGGTTATGTATGGGACTGCTAACCAAAAGGTCAGCAGTTTGAATCTCCCTGCTGCTTCTTAGAAGAAAGATGAGCCTTTCTGCTCCTGCAGAGCGTTACTGCCTCAGAAACCAGGGTCACTATGAGTCAAAATCAACTTCACGGCACACAGCCACCACCGCATTTCATACTAGACTCGAATGTTCAACATGTATCTTTTGTAAAATAATAATCTTACCCCAAAATAATCATGAAATATGATGTTCTTTAAGTTGCAGCTAGAAAGAGAAACAAACACTTAAAAATGAAGACTGTTATTACAAATGGGAACCATTTGAATGTTGCCATTGAGTGGGTTCCAATTCTGTATAGGGTTTCCAAGGCAAGGCGATTTGTACTGCCAACCTTGTGGTTAGCAGTCCTTTGCTTATCCTATACTTTAGAGACTCTTAAAATCTCACCCTACTATTACAAGTATTTTTAGTTCTTTATGACCCCTCCTTTATCCACATTTGTATTTGTGCACGTCTGTAACCACTGCATATTTATATGTGTTCTATTCTTTTCACCGAATGCTCTGTCCTTGTGTGCACACTGTGGTCATACTTTTAATGATTGTGTGATATCCCAAACAATTGAGATACCAAAATATGCAAAACCTTCCCTCTGTGATTGGAAAATTAGATTGCTTCCAGTTTGTACGAATTACAAATAATGTTGCTATAATATATGTATAGTCTGTTTTTTTTAATGAATGATTTGTTGCTGTTGTTTTAAGTGTTGTCAAGTTCCGACTCCTAGTGACCCAGTATAGGGTTTCTGGGGAGCAGCTGGTGGGTTTGAACTGCTGATCTTATGGCTCACAGTCCAGTGCTGATCCTACAACTCCATTATCTTGAGATAAATTCTCAAGAGTGGGATTATTATATCAAAAGAATATGATTGAAACTTCTTGGCCTTTTAAATTTTCCCTTACAAAGAGAAGAGCCCAGTTTTGGCTGCCACGTGTGAGAAATTTTATATGCATTTCCAGTTGAGGGATTGAGACCACTCTAGTTTTATTTTCAGTGGTTCTTTGTAGTCAGCAACAAAGATCAACATGGCAAATTACGCCTTGCCAATGACAATTTGGGGTTTGGGTTTCTCTGAAATGTTTTTTCACAGTCTCTGGTAGAATTATGGGGAGGAGTGTCTGTAGTAAATGCCGCTCAGTTACGACTTTTATTATGTAAAAAACCCCAAACAAAACCTTACTATTAGCCGTGGTTTATGCTGAGCTCTTTTTCTGGAAAACAACTGTCACATTGAAATTCTGGTCTAAGAGGTATGTGTCAGTATCATTTGAAAATCCCTAATTACTGATAACAATTGAAATTTGATAAACAGCAAATCCCCAATGTGGTACTGGGTGACTTCTTTGTGAAGTTACATATATATTGTTGTTATGAAGTTCTGACTCACAGTGGCCCTGTATAGGGTTTCCGAGGCTTTTAAAAAAAATCTTTGCTGTAGCAGAAAGTTTCATCTTTCTCTCATGGAGTGACTGGTGTGCTCATACCATTGACTTTGTGGTTCTCAGTCCATTGCTTACCCTATGGTGCCACCACACACCCCCTATATAAATATAGCTATTAAGTGCCATCAAGTTGGTTCTGACCCAGAGCAACCCTGTATAGGGTTTCCAAGGAGCGGTGAGCTTATATCTCTGACCTTGTGGTTCAAAACAACCTTGCAGGCCAGTGCATCAATCTGCAGCACCACACCTAGACATACATTTTTCTCCCCTTAAGTTCTCAGGTTTTGTTTTTTTATTTTACGTTCTTGGTATATATGTATATATTTTAATATATACATATATATATATTAATGTATGTTTTTAAAGATGGCTCGTATTTAATGTAAAAAACTCAGTATGAAAAACATTCCAACTTTTGGGAGCAAATTAAATCAATCATACATCAGTTACAGGGAAGGAGCTAAAACGTGAACAGACAGCCTGCTCATGAGTTTGTTTAGGAGGCAGCACAATGAGCTGATAAAGGCAATAGCTTTGCAGCCAGCCAGTTCAAGTCCCAACTCTGACAGATCACTTATAACTTATGACTTTAGGCTCAGTCCTTAAACTTGTTCAGTCTCAGCGTCCTTCTGGGGCCTTGTGAAAGTTAGCTTAGTCACTGTACATGAAGAAGTTCCCTCTGTGCTGCTACTACCAGAAGATCACAAGCACTTTCTCTAATAATTTCCATTCACTTAAAGGAAGTGTGGGAGCCCTGATGGTGCAATGGCTAAGCATTTGTCAGCTAACCAAAGATTGGATGTTCGAACCCACCAGAAGCTCCACAAGAGAAAAAAAGCTGGCAATTTGCTCCTATAAAGATTACAAACTATAAAACTCGATGGGGCTGTTCTACTTTGTCACATGGGGTTACTATGAGTTAGAATAAGCTCTATGGAATGTGGGGTGGAGTCAACGGGGAGCCAAGTCAGATTGTTGTTAAGTGCCATTGAGTTGGTTCCAACTCAGCGACCCTGTACAGGGTTTCTGAGGAGTGACTGGTGCATCTGAACTTATTTACCAATCTGTAAATGAGCAATTTCACATAGATTTCACCACATCAGCAAGGTGAAAGCCACGTAAAATTGGATACTTCAGATTAGTAAGTAAATACAAGTGTATGCTTTCCTCCTTGAGGGGGAGGAAAATGTCTCAGAATCAAGAACATCTTCCAGAGAGAAAATGCAAGGGAAAAGGTACATGAAACAAGAGAAAAGGTTTCTAGGTAATATTCAAAGTGTGTGATCCAGGTAGAGAACCAATCTTAGGATTATCCAGAGGTGAGAAAGGGGGACCAGGGTAGAATTATCTTTTTGAACAGAAAGCAGGGAATGTTAGGGAGGGTAGGGAGTTGGGCTCCTTGAAGTGAGTTCTCAAACGATGGGACAAGTGACATCATGTCCTGGTGAGTTAATGCGCTAGACTACAAAGTTGGTTTGAACCGTAAGGTCAGCAGGTCAAGCTCACCAGCTGCTCCTTGGAAACCCTATACAGGGTCACTATGCGTTGGAACTGACTCAACCGCACTTAACAACAAGGATGTAATGTATGGATAGACTCCTGGTGTGGTACTGTTGGATCAGCACTGGGCTGCTAACCACAAGGTTGACATTTCAAACCCACCATCTGCTCCTCGGAAACCCTACACAGGGTCGCTGTAAGTCAGAACTGACTTGATGGCACTTAACAAGGATGTAACATTTTATCTTGCTGTAGACCAGGATATCTGAAGGCCTTTTGCCTGTGAACACCACCAGCCTTTGTTGTTAAGTGATGCAGAGTAGGTTCCAACTCACAGTGACCCTGCATAAGGTTTCTGAGGAGCAACTGGTGGGTTTGAACCGTGCTTATCCTACAGCGCCACAGCACAGCTTAATTCCATCTTGTACATAGCTTTCAGTGTTCAGATGCCATTTTTTTTCTTGAGTATCTCATGTCTCTCTTATGGCTGAACTGTCAGAGTTTGAAATGGTACATTTAAAAGTAGGTCTGGAGGCCACTTTCCCCAGACAGGCCTTGCAGGAACATTCCTAGACACATCCCTTAATGGTTGCCTAGTTGTGATGTCATCACTTGGGAATCTCAGACGGTACACTTCCCTATCTGCAGTAGTCCCCTCCCTGCTTTCCTAAGCCTAGTGTATAAGTAAGACGTGGCTGGCTGCTGCAGTCACTCATGGTGGTGGGAGGTGATTGCTGCGTTCCCTGTGCCTAGAAAAGGTCACTGTATGGAGATAAAACCTTGGAAACTCATTGTGGGGTCTATGATTTCCCTCATCCGGGTGATTTATGTTGGCCTTTGCCTTGTATTTACTCTTATTTTAGACTTAATATTCTGTATAATATTTATATTTTTGAAGATGGGGGGGGGTCTCTTTTCTCCCTTAGAACAGTCTAGAGCAGTGCTTCAAATTTTACTATGTGTCCCAAATACTGAGAATGCTCATTAATGAATACCGATTCTGGGGCCCATTCCAGATCTATGGAATCTGCATTTCAACTGGCTCCCCAGGACATTCTGATGCACAGGAAATTTTGGGAACCACTGTCAGAAGAGACAGGCCTCAACTGTGGCATTCTTGTGCCCGAAAAGAGAGAAAGATCCTCAATGAGATGAACTAACACGGTGGCAGCAGCCATAGAACTAGACATAGAAATGATGGTGAGGATAGTGCAGGATCAGGAAGTGTTCATTGTACACAGATTCGCTAGGAGTTGGAATGGATTTGACAATGGCACTTAACAATAATAACAAAGGGGATTATTTGGTGATACTTTCTACTATCAAAAAGAATGATCATGGTGGTAGTTGTGTGCCACAGGTCAGTTCCAACTCATAGCTACCTTGTACAGGGTTTCCGAGGCTGTTAATCTTTATGGGAGTCCTGTTGTGGCACTGCAGAATAAGCACTCAACTGTAAGGTCTGTCTGAACCACAAGGTCGGCAGTTCAAACTCGGAAACCCTATACAGGGTCACTATAAGTCAGAACTGGCTTGACCGCATTTGACAACAACAACAATCTTTAGGGGAGCAGAAAGCCTCATCTTTCTCCCATGAAGCAGCTGGTAGATTTGAACTGCGGACCTTGCTGTTGCATCCCAGCTTGGAATCCACTATGCTCCCATCAGAAGGAATGTTGTTGTTGCACTGTTGTGCCATCAAGTCAGTTCTGACTTATTGTGACCCTGCATAGGGTTTCTAAGGAGCAGCTGGTGAATTTGAACCATTGACCTTGCTGTTCAAACCGACCTTGCAGTCCAGTGCCATACCTCTCCATTAGAAAGAATAGCGGTGGTGGTGTGCCGTGGTGTCGGTTCCGACTTACAGCGACCCTGCACAGGGTTTCTGAGGCTGTACACTTTTACGGAATCAGAAAGCCTCATCT